TCCCCAGGACATCTCAGAGAATCCATTTTACTCTGAGGGCAGTAGAATGAAGTGGTGTAAAGAACAGAAGCAGAATGTGCCCTCTTTGGCTCTTGTGGGTCACTCCGGGAAAGTGCCTGCCTCAGGAAAGCTGAGTGTGGAGCTGGGCTGGACTGAGCGTTACCATCCGAGAGAGACAGAGCAACTGCAGCCTCCTCCTGCCCATCCTTATATGGGTGCTGGGTCTAGGGACCCCCTTAACCCAAGAGCTGGCTCGCTGGAGAGTGATGACTGGGTGAAGGGACGGCTGGATCTCTAGGCTGGGACAGGAAATGCTAGGGTTGTTACTGAGAGATCTATTTGGCGGGGGGGGGGCACTCCACAAGCTTGTGGAGAGAAGGGAGACTTTGGAGTTGGTTTATGGAGGATTATTGCAGCTCCAGAAGCAGCCTCTGTGGATCCAGGCTGTTTTCGGGCTTTGGTATGTGGGCCATCACTCCCAAAAGAACCTTCATGTTTGCAGCATGTTGCAAAAGTCCAGCCACTTTCTGAAGTTACAGGTCCTTGAGTGATCACAGGTTGAACTAATCAACAGACCAGATCAGAATACTTTGAGATGTGGCATCCTGAATGCCTTCAACGGCTTCCCCATCAGGTCAAAATAGCTCTCCCCAACTGTAATCTCATCACTCTGGGAGGCAGACGCAGGAGGACTGTGAGTTCTAGCTCAGCCTGGGCAACTTCAGGACTCAGTGAGACTTTGTCTCAAACAAAAAATAAAGGCTGAGGATGAGGCTCAGGGAGGCCCTGAGTTCGATCCCCAGTATCGAACAAAGAAAAAAAATCTCTCCTAACAACCAATGCCAAGTCGTCCCCATCCTCAGGTCCCCAGAGAAGTTTGCTGTGAAGTTTTGCTCTGGGGTTCCCTGGGGGATCAAGAATGATGAGAAGTGGATCAGGGGAGAGGACCAGGAGTGAGAGACCAGGAGTGAGAGGACCAGGCGTTAGCCCTACCCTCCCACCCCTGCAAGAGCTTCTCTTGAAGCAGCCACACTTCTGATCATGCTGGGCTGGTGCCCGCCTTTCCTCTGCTACCCAGAGACCCACATCTTAAGTGGCAAGGATAAGACCCAAATCTCCTGGCCACCAGTTTTCCCTGCAAACTGGGACATATAACTGGACAGTTACCTGCTGCTCAGAGTACGTGCTCTGTCACCTACGGGTCACAATACAGAAGCCCAGTCCACAATTTCCTACTCTGTCTTCTTCCTGTGTCACCAGTGATGCTTAGAGTTGCTGACCGGTGAGGCCAGCTGGCCAGGTGCCACCTGCTGTGTGTCCCTGGATTTCTGTCCATTTGTCACCTGAGCAGCTGTAGTTCCTGCTGTTAGTGGTGGGGCCTCTTCCCTGTGCTCCAGTTGACTGGGCTGCAGCTGGTTCCAGGAGTGAGCAAAGATGACCAGCAGCTGCCATCTGATCACGTGGCCATGGCCATGCCACAAATGGCAGTGAGAGCCCCACAAGCCACAGTCAATCACACAAGCCAATGTCTTCTCATAGTTCTGAATAAAGGTAGTATGAGTGAGAGTTTCATATCACTTTTTGGAAGGAGGAACCCAAAAGAGATATATGGGATGGTTTCTGATTGCTGTCCTCAAATGAATTGGGGATCTACTCCCAAATCCCACATTTTCCAAACAAATGTGAATGTGGGGAAACCCCGAGGGCTGGGACATACACTCCAATCAGAGGAAGCCACACTTTGGAGGCTGCCTTTATAAAGGGGAGAAAATGCAAGGGAGGCAGCATTTTTTTTTTTTTGGTGGAGGCAGCATTTTAGGCTCTTTGTCTGATTTCTGTGGCTGTAGGGGAGTAACTGAGAATGTATGTGGTTTGCAAAGAAAAGAGGCCTATCGTGCTTACAGTTCTGGAGCTAGAAGTCCAGGAGCACAGCACCAGAATCTGCTTAACTTCTGCAGAGGGTCTGGTGCTGATCCACATGTATCAGGAAGAGGAGAGGCAGAGGGGTGCTGGGGTGGCAGGGAGGGGCTGAACCCCCACTCTAGCCAACCTGGTCCAGCCAGGCAGCATTAACCCACCTGTGAGGCTCTGCCCAGACTGTCCGGCCAGGCCCCAACCCCAGGCTCCTTCTGGTCCCTGAGTGTGTGGTCTGTGTCCAGAGTCCCCTTTCTATAAGGACACCAGGTGCAGTGGAGGGGCCCCGCTGCAGATGACACCCCTTTGTCCCCAGCCCATTCTCTTCCTACCTGGCAAATGGTGACAGTGTTACACATTGGCACACCAGTCCACACCTGCAGTCACCCGATGGACTGCTGTCCCCACCAGGGCTTAACAATAGGTGTGGGAACGAGGAGCCCTAGGCTTCCGCTGGACCCTGCGTGGACCCTGTGGGACTTGGGGCCAGTTTCCTCATCCAAATGAGGGCCACACACCGCCCAGTATCATGAGACCAGCACACTTGATTGGGATGCCAGATGTGGTGATGAACAAAGCTGTGGCACCCTCGAGCATCCCTCTCTCCAGCCATTCCTCCGTGCCAGTCCTAGCAGCTCTCTTTTGGGCCACTGATGCCAGCCCTACCAAAGAGCTTTCATTCTTGTGTGGGAGAAGTGTTGAGGGTCAAAACAAGGGCCCTGGGGTGACGCTTATTCGTGAGCGTTGTCCCAGATAATTTTGTCATGTCTGTCCTCTTCATGGGATTTGATCATTTGCTTTTACAAAAATCACTAGGACACAAACATACTACTCTGTTCAACCAGAGTTTATACATGGTGCTGGAAAAGAAAGACCTGTGGACACTTGAACCTTCAAGGAAGGATGGGGACCAGGGAAAGCCCAGCCAAGAAGGCTTCCCAGAGGAGGGACCAGCTGGGCATGAGCCACCAGGCACGTGGGCATGGTCCTCCTCGGACATCAGGGGAAAGCAAGTGGTAGGTGACCACTTTGGAGCATTTACGAAAAATAGTGACTTCTCATGGATCACCCTAATTCCGAGAAAATGGAAACACCTCAAGTTGTAACCTTTGAGCCCATGTGACAACACATGGGCAGTGGCTCTAGAGCCCCTAGAATCCTTGGGGCTTCTCAAGTGAACCAATGCCTGTTGCGGATCAATTAAGACCGAGTTTCTGGAAGTAGGGCCTCCTGCGGGGTGGGGTCCCTAGCTCAGTGGCCAGATCTCCCAGCGAGGTACGGTTCCTTGCAGTTCTTACTCTGTTCAGGGCCCTCCAGAAGGGACGGATTCCCTCAATCCATTTGGGACAGAGGCCTTTGGGACAGACCCCAGGGGCCACCTCAGCACGAGGCCACCATAGCTTACACGGAAAGAACACCTGCTCTCGCCACCTGTCCTGCGGGAAGGGGCCGCGCCCCCTCACTGAACATTCGTTGCCCACGGCTCTACTCCCCCGCCCCACTGTCACCTGCGCCAGGTTCCTTCTCTGGGCACAGCGGCCACAGGACCCCATGCCGGCTGAGCTCTATGCCAGGACTCACCCTCCTGCCCGCCCCAGGGCGCATCCCGGGACGCGGCTGACAGGAGCCCGACCTCGGGGGCCCCAGCAGAACACAAACTCCTCTCGTGTGGCCCGGTTTTACTTGGGGAGGGGACGCATTTGTCAGGACCCTCCCTTCCGCCACGGGGAATTGTTTAAGTACCCAAAGGCTCAAGGGGGCGGGTCCCGCTGCGCACAGGTGGAGACACCGAGAGGCTGAGCGGGCCCCGGAGGCGTCCAAGGTCACGCGTCCCTCGAGAGGGCGGGAGGACTCGCGGGGCGCAAAGCCGGGCCCGTCCGGTACTCGGATCTCGGGGCTCGGCTGTCGCAG